GTGACATGAGAGAGAGCTTCTCTGCTCCATTGTGCCTTAAGTTACTAAAAATTACATTTTTCTTAGACTGGATGGTGAAGTGTACGATGCATTCAGAATATGATTCAGTTTTCAAAAGTGAGTAGATGTTAGTGAGGCTCTTCCCCAGACTGATCACATGATAAAAGGCATTTATAGGCAGTGTTGGTCCATCAGACTGATGACCAGACTGAGACAGGAGTTTGCAAGTTTTCAGCTGTAACTTCCTCTGAACTTAGAGATATGTGAGGGCAGGTGCAGGGACATGCACCTATTCCCCCATGCCTGGCTGGCCAAATGCAAGTGCTATCTCAGTTCAGCACTGCCTAGGCTCTGCACCTCAGCTGAAGTTTTCAAGTGGTTATGGAGGCCACCAGGAGGTTGTCGAAGTAAAGCCTTGTAGAGGAATTAAGGGATGATCTGTAAGCCTGGGAGCTGTGGCCAAATTTAATTTTTGATTTGATTTCAGTTGCCTTCTGCCGAAAGGAATGCTCTTCTGATGACATCAAATAATGCTTTTTAAATTGGTTTCCATTGCTTGAAATGAAGCAAGAAATTGATCAAAATTCTTCTGCAAAAAGATAGCATGTGTATTGTTTAGGTGATTGTGTTGAAATCTGTGTTTTCTTTGAATAATACCAACTTTCCTGTTTGTCAAACCCAGACGATGCATAGTTGGGTGGGTGAGGATTTGCCAGCTAGGACAACTACAGCCTCCTCAGGGCCTGGTGAAGGAAACTTGGAAGAGAAATGTAAACAGGTAGACTGAAAGCCTTGTGCACTAATCACACTAATTGTGTTTGCAGTCTCAACTCAACTGTCTAGCTGTGTAATGAGACCTGAACTAGGAGCCTGAAAAAAGTGTGTCTGTCTGAAGTAATTTTTGGTTTTGATGTGTTTTACTGTTAACTCACTTACTGTAGTTCCTCATAAAAGGATCAGGGTATAAAGTCCCCTTCTTTTGTGGGGCTGCCACTGTTGGGAGCACATCACCACTAGATGTTTGAATAACTTGGAAACTGCCTTTATGTAGTTCAAGCGACTGTCTGCTTACTCTGCTTGGTCCATTGGAGCAGCAGCAGCAGCAATCATAAGGCACTTATATTAACCTTAGGTCACTGAGCACATTTCCTTTCTAAAATCAATGGATTTTTCCACTTAGCCTCGATCTGTTTGCTTAATAAGCCCAAAAGATTTCAAAGACACTTGATTATAATTCAGCTAAATTGAAAAAGTTGCAGATTTTGATAAATCTGACTATCAGCCACCATCTAGGTAAAAACAAAAAATAGTGCTGAAGCATTTGTGTCCCTTTCACAGTTGACGCTGTTGGATAGCAGGAATTGCAGTGACCTAAGTGTGAAACTTTGGGAGCTGCTACTGGCTTGTGGAACCTGATCTCTCAGGGCATTGTGATAAGGAAAATAATAAAGTTACATAAGCAATCCTTTGCAAATGATTCAAGAACATGACACTGAGCCAGATCCCCTCTCTAGCATAGTCAGGCTCTGAAGGGACTGGAATTTCTCCAGCTGAAGCCAGCAGAGAATGGCTTCATTAAGATTAGATAATCTGTAGGGTCTACATTATATGTCACTGAAGGAGATGGATTAGTGTTCTGTACTAATGGTACAGGGACACAAAGGCAAGGGAAAATTCAGATATGAGTTTCTTCAGACTATACATCATCAAGCATGAGTGTTGCATGGAGAATGTTTGTACATTGTGTACAGAAATAAGGTTTTTTTATTGCTTGTTGTATTTATTTACTCTGACAGTAATGTAATGAAGCAAGATTTTCAGAAGATGTCCAGAAATTTAGAGATTATGAAGAAGTCTCTGGTTTGTCACAAACCTAAAATCCACAGATGTAAAATTCTTAGAAACATTATCTGTTGATAATATCCTTTGATTAGGTAAAAATATGCTAGATGAGTGAAACTTAGAGGATTATCAAGTGTGTCCAGATCTAAGTATTACAACAGATGTGGAAATGCTGCTCCTGATGTTCTTCATTACTGAAATAAAATTACTTGTATTAGAAGCATTGCAGGAGTGAAACTTAAAGCATGTTAAAAATGTGATTTCAAGCTAACATGGACCTTCCAGCTTTTGAGGTGGCCAGTAGGTAAAAACATTGATCTTACAGTGGCAGGGACCAAAACCTTTGAGTATTAAATATTAATTAGGAATTTATGGGCACACTTTCAAATAATGACTTTTACCTGAAATAAACCTGGAAGTGCTGTTGGATGTCTAAGGATAATTTAGAAAGAACACAGACAGGGTTTTACCCATGTATCTCCAGTATTGCCTTTGAGACCTTTACTGGAGCACCACTCTCAGGATATAGTAGTAGTCCTCAGCTTTATTTCAAAAACCATAAACTATAGGTCTGTTTTCTTTGAGGCCGCAGAAGACTGAGCATTGGGAGCTATGTTAATCACTTCATTCAAAGTCCAGTGACTACTTACAGGTGATAGGAAAGCTGCTGAAAAGCATTGGGTATACAGAATTCTGGCAGACACTCCTAAAGACAAGCTGTGTTTTGTTCAAAGAGGGAGGGCACACAGAGTTATGTTTTTATTAAAGCCAAAACGAAACAAAACTGGAACAAAACTGTAATGACCTCCTGAGACCTGAAACTTCTCTCAGCTACTCCTGTAGCACAATGTCAGTGCTATTAGTGTTTGTGGTGGAGCTTTGCTGAAAGTTTCACTCAGGTCTCTGAGATGCATCTCGAACATCTCTGTTGGGCAGCTCCTGACTTACCAGTTGATAACTCCGGATATTCTAATTGCTAAGCAGTCTCTCAGTCTGTGAACCTTGTTGATCGATTTTTGTGGGGTTTGGGGGTTTTTGGTTTTGGGTTTTTTGGCTTTGTTGTTTTGGGATTTTTTTTATCTCAATGAATGTGAGATCTACTTGTTCTGACACAGAGGATCTGCATGTCCACTCCTAACTATCAAGGATATGCATGCCATTCACCAACAGGAATGTACATTGGCACGACTTGTCACTTTGCATCCAGTTCAACTTGCTGTTCCTTGTTCTGAGATCTCTCGTGTGCAGTAATATTTTTATTACAGCAAATAGTGTGCTGGTGAAAGCTTAAAAGTTCTTGGATCAAAATGGACAGAAATACACTTCCTTGTTGGATACCAGGCAGGCTTCATGGCAGTTGTCCAAAACTTCAGGTCAGAGGAGGGTAGACAATGGAGTTGAGAAAGATCTCCTCACTTCTTTCATCCTTAGATCTTTAGAATGGAGTGAATAATCACATACTGTGATTCTGTTCAAGTCAGAGTTTTGGCAGGAGAGGCAGCATGATCCATCTGGAATGAAGTCTGAAGACCTGTTGTTTGCTGCAGTCCTTGGAAGCCTGTTAAGTGTTGTAGGCCTTGGTTCCTTTGTTGGCCATATGAAAAGGATGATACTTACCAAACTTTCATGGATGGAAAATGTTTTTATATACAAAGCTGTGCTAGTTGCTGTTGATGGCAGAAGAAACAGTATATCTTGAATTGCAGTTTGCACACTAAAACAGTAAGGTACTGTGATTCCCCTCCACTCTGAAAGGTGCTTGTGTACCCAAGTTCATCATCTGTGAAGAATTCCACTCCACAGGGAATTGCATAATTATGGCAACTTTGGGAGCACATTACTTACTAAAAAACCCTTCTTTAAAGTGATGAGAATAACGAATGTACATTTATTCCCACAGCAGTGAATTACATGTGTACCCTTTTCAAAGTTATTTTTCATTTTTAGGAGATTTTAGAAAGTCCCTGAAAGGGTCAAACCCAAGTGTCTGCTCTTCCTAAGTATATGTGTATTCTTTTCCAAAATAAGAGTGTGTGTAGCTTTGCTGCTTAACTTTGTGAGTCCAAGCCACTGCTTTGTGTCCAGATATGTATTCTGGAAGTTGATGTGTTAATGGCTACACCCTCCTTGAAGAAGGTGCTGCAGCAGACTATCAGAGGTCCTTCATTATTGCTTCATTTTTATTGTTCTTTTCATTGATGTTTGTATGTTTGTATACTTTTGAAGTAAAGTCAGGGAAAAAGCCCACAGAATCGATGCATTCACACAGGTTGGATGCTGCTGGGGAAGTCTAGTTAGGAACATGTGGTGTTAATTACTTTTTCAGGTCTGCAGTCTGTGATTTATTCTGTTTCCATTCCCATTTGATTCCAATATCCTAGTTCAGGATCTGCAGGGCTGTATGTTTGCTAATGGATATGGGGAGATCCTGTTCTGGCAGGAGTTCTCTGAAGGACATAAAGCAAATCCTGTCCAGTAAAATTAATGGTAGAATTCTCAATTGTTTCAGTGGTATCTCAGTTTCACTTACTAAATTTAGGAAATCTGGTGGGGTTTAGCCTATCCATGGTTGAGAGAATGGTGGTTGTCAGCATCATCATAAATCTTCCACTTCAGATGGAGTCTTATTGCTGAAACAGCCTGAGTGGTCAAGAGTTAAAAGGAGAGGTGGATTATCTGCTTGATGAAACAAACTTGGGATCCCTAGGAAGAGAAGAGATTGGGTGGCAAGAGAACTGATGGCATTCACACATAAAATAAAAAGCATAGGAGTGACAGATTGCAGTCCTAGAGTCTTCATACTTGTTTGAACTTCTAGTTTTATTTGTTTTCAGTAAATCTTTGCAGTAACTTGTTCAATTGAAATATGTGCTGGACAGGACAATGGTAAGAGTTTCTCACTAGCTGTGAATAGCTGTACACTTCACATCTGGGGAAATAATGATATAAATGCAGAAATATTTAAGCTTTAAGAACGAAACTATTGCTGTTACTAATTTGTTATGATATATCACAAAGAACATTTCAAAGATTTGTCTGATAGGAGAATCTTCTTTTGGAATGAAACACAAGTCATTTACTGTAAGAATCGCTACCAAAAGAAGGCATGCTCTTTTCAAAGAACAAAAACTGATGGTCTCTTTTTTTCTTCTTTTCAGGCAGCACAAATAGTCCTGATTTCTCTCTTTGAATTGAACACTCCTGAGTTTACCATGTTACTTGGTGCCTTGCCAAAAACATTCCAGGATGGTGCTACCAAGCTCCTGCACAACCACCTCAAGAACTCCAGTAACACCAGTGTGGTGAGAGGCCCCTGTCCTTGCAAACAGCAGAGCCCCAAAGACAGCAGCTCATTGATAAGCTGTTGCAGATGTTCAGTTTGAATTATCTGTAACTGTTGTCCTGAAGCAATATGGCAACAGAGGCTTTTGTTTGATGTTGCTTTTAATAGGGACCATTAAAATAAAAAACTCAGTTATTTTAAAATTTAATATAGTCCTAACCAGAAGAGATTAAAAAATTACTGAGAAGTGCATTGAAATTGGTGGGATTTGTGCTTTCATGTTGGTGGTGCTTTTGACAGTCCTGCCAGTAATGACTTTTTGGCTAAAACATATCCTAATACCACAGATTTTCTGGCTTACGACTATTACTGAGATCAATTTAATAACAGTTATACTATCTGTTAAGAAGCTTGCAGGATCTTTAATGTGACCTACAGGTCACCTCAGTCTATGCCTATTACCTTATGTTTTGCTTTTGTATGAAGCTCTTACATATTTTTATTTCACTGAAGGAATATGTTAGTAGATTTAAATAGGAAATTTCTTTCCCTTCCCAGAGCAGCAAGGATTAGGGAATATTTTGTCTTTTCAATGTGGAAATCTTGTGAACTTGCTGGAATGTGAACCATCCTATCTTTGCACTTCCACAGGGCTAAGTAAAATTTAGTTCAAGCTAGAGCTGCAGCATTAGGCTTCCAGGCAAATGGTCTGGATTCTCTAATACTTTTGACTCTATGTGAAAAGTGTCAGAATTGAGAGCAATTTCTCCTTATTTTGGTGTGGTATAAAAGATTGTGCAGGCCAGTGGAAAAATGGTATTAGATGGCTTACTTATGCTCCGAACAAGCATAATCAGAATGCTTTAGACAATGTGGAAAATAGCTGTGTAATTAGAATACTAAATTGCCAGGGTAATGCTGAGCATATTTTGGAGCCTTGCAAATCTTGTTTGAGAAGCTGGGTTGATAAACCATTTCTCTGGCAATATTTGCAGGCCATACGTGTTGTGCATTTAATTTGCAGGTACTGTGGATTGTAGAGAAGTGCACATACACTTTCTTTATCCTCAGATTCATATCTTCAGGAGCATGTTAATGACTACATGAACCATGGCTGCAGATTTTTAGGTCAAGAGGCATAATCAAACCTGCACTAAGCTTGTCTAGAGCAAACAGAGGCACTGTTTGGACTTGTACTCCTGTTTTGCAACACGTTGCTAATCCCTGTCTTCCTGCTTCTGTGTCAGGGTTCCCCCAGCAATACCCTTGGTCGGACTCCTTCCCGGCACTCCAGCAGCAGAACCAGCCCCCTAACTTCACCCACCAACTGTTCCCATGGTGGACTGTCTCCAAGGTAATGTGGCAGGCTAATTAAACCCCTTGCAAAATACTAAAGGATTTCAACACTGAGAGTGCATTTGCAGAATATGACTCACTTTGAAAGCAAAAACAGGACAATAAGTTTACAGTAGATTTCTGCAAAGAAGCAGTGTTTGAATGTGATAATATGTGGCTGGTGATTGACTTCAGTGTTCCAGTCCTCATGCTGTCTGTGTAATCTTAATGTCTTTTCTTACCATATTAGTTTTCTTTTGTGGCCATCTTCAGAATTACTTTTGTGGGTAATAAAGGAAATATTAATTGGCAGGATTAGAAATAAGGTGTTGTTAAGATTGCATATGTCACAAAGTCTGTGATGACTCTCAGAACAGGAGTTTCAGATTGTGCCTATTTTTTAGGTGTGGACTTTTGCAACTGGTAGTTCTTCTGACTATACTGCAGGGCTTGTGCTGCTGAGAGAAGTGCTGTGTCTGCTGTTCCCTCTTATTCTTTGTGAGGATGCAGGACAAGCAGAGGTGGTGACTGTTTCAGTGCTGAATACCTCCCAGATTGCTCACCTGGCTTCTCACCAGCAGAGCTGTGGCCTGGTCTTCTGGGAAGCAGCTCTATTGCAACCAGGTGTTTTTCTGAAGCTGCAGGTGCTACTCTAGAATATATTGGTCTACTCCAAAATCTTGTATTCAGCCAGCACTGACTCTTGGCTGCTGGGAATGTGGATGTTTTGCAGCATTAAAACTTAGAGCAGGGGAAATGACATTGTAAACAGTATATTCTGGGACCATAGAAATACTGGAGGAAAGTAGCAAGCTGTTAGCTGGACAAGCTTGGTTCATGCTGGAAAAGCTTAAATTCTGCTACCCTTGCCTGCCTGTCTCCTCTTCTTGACAGATTGTGGAAGAAACATAAGGGGCCATGTTGGGCGAGGACTGCAGTTCATAGTGCAGTATAGTAGTTTACATTGAAATCTGTTATCTACCCTTGTTACTTGCAAAACTCTCTGAAGGGATGCTTGAACATGTGAGTTCCAGTGTGTCAGGAAAAGTACAGGCATTTAGCATTTAATGAAGAATTATACTAATTCCAGCAGCACAGGAATCATTGGGGCTTCCTGAGAAAATTTTGAATATCTAAATACATCTTTGTGACTTCTAAATCTGCTGTAATTCAAAACTAGACCAAGAGTTTGCCAGCTGAAGCCAAGTTGACTGTTAAAAGTTTTTTTCCGCAAAGGTTTCAAAAAGGAATTAAGTAGTAGAGTTTCAGAGGAACGGTTCCAACTATGTTGCTTCCTTTTTGACTAGCTTGAACATCGTTGCCCTGCTGATTTCTGTCATGGGAAATTATTAACTGTGTCTCCCTGTGGTTACGTTGTGGTTTTGTTGCCATGTTTGCATGTGGCACTTATTTTATAATTCCACAACCTTTTACCATGCTTCTTGGGTTTTGCCATTGGGACACAATTGTTTATTGCCACTTCACTCACTGTTTTCTATTTGTCTTTGCTTTCTTCTCACCTCTTGATGTCAGGAGGAAAATATCAAAGTATTGATTAAAGCACGCAATGTGCATTGTTGCTGTTGCTTTCTAGCATTTTGGGTTTAGAAACTGAAGGGGTTTTTTCCATGTGTTATTTTTTCTCCAGAACCAGTTTGAGAGAGCATATAATTCCAGAGCATTCTGCCATGGATGTAGTTGGCCAGGAATTTCCTTTAAAAAACAATAATCCCTTCCATTTTCTATAGAGTTATTGGAGTTGTTTAATCAAAAATTTAGATGTCTTTTCGAGAAGTGTGTCCTGCTTCCTTGCTGGATATAATTATTCAAAAGTGATGTTTAAAAGTTACTCTTCAGTCATAGGCAAAGGTGGAAGCTGTTATGAAAGCCCTTTAAAATATTTGGAAGGGAGAAGCTGTACTTTTTTGTGGTGAGTACCCTCTAAGCTGTAACAGTGTCTGTAGATTTTTGCCATTTGTTGAAAAGGCAGTGGCAAGTACTGCAAGTCAGGGATAGTAGCTTGTGATGCTCTGCTGGACTGCATCCTTCTTGAAAATGTCTCGTGTAGCACAGTTTGGGCATGTTCCTGACTTAAAGGGAGAATTTAGCTCTGGTTGTCCTTCTTTCAGAGAAGGGCCTTTGAAAGATGTGCTGACAGATTGTGGTTAAGTAGGGTATGCTGCAGTATTGCATTCTTTGGTATAGGTACTTCAGTGTCATGTTTCCACTTCAAATGCTTGTCGTTTGCTATTCAGCATTGCTGTGAAATGTCACTTTCTACAAACTCAGAACAGAAGTATGCCCAGGTCATTCTGATAGCAGTATGAAAGGATAAAGATTTCTAGTTTCTTTGTGTAGTTCTCCTCCAAAAGTAGGCTTGGCTTTACATTTTCATGGGGCCTGCTGCCCAGGGTTTGTAGTCAGGTTGTGTATTCCCATTGCCTCATGGGGTGCTCCATGTGCAGGCCCTGCTTACCTTGTCCCTGCTCATGTCTTATACAGGCAGCCTGAGTAGTCAGTGGAAGGATTATCTCCAGTTCTTAATGCCAGCTTTGGATTTTAAATTTATGCTTTCCTTGTATTTTTTTTCCTGGTTCACACATTGGAGTAAAATCCAGAGGCATACATGTCTTTGGAGCTGGAATATGTGTAGAAAGGATGTTGGGGTCATGTAGGAATGCGAAAATGCTGTGAAGCATAGCTGCTGTCCCATATTACTAATGGTTTGAGGGCAATATCCTCAACAAGTCAGCAAGATTTCATTGTTACAGATTTAGTGTATTATATACGTATACCAGATGACTGATTTTTTGGGAGTGTTGTGTGTGTATTTATGTGTATGTGTATTTGGGCTCTCTGGATATATTTTGTTTGTTTTGGTTGAAGTGGACTCTGCAAAAGCTGATTTGCCTATCCAGATGATAACATCTGCTTAAGTATTCCCTGAAGTCTTCAGGAGGGTAGCATGCTTTCAGGGTCTTGGACAGAGTCCTTTCTCCTGCCATCATTTACTCCCTCCAGTTCTGCTTCATGGTCACTATGACATATCCACTACATCTGTGAGTTACTTCTGCATTTGTATCTGTTTTGGTTTTTTTTTTCTTTAACAGTTTTAGTTTTTGGTGAGAGGAGCTATGGAAGAAAGATGTGCTTTCTGAAAAAGAAAACAGGGAAGGGCACTTGGGAAGACTGAAAATAATAAGAAAAATCCCCCAGACTTCAGACTGAAAGGGAAGAATGTTTCCTAGGCAAAGCACAGATAAATGGCTCAGATTTGTGTTGGACAGGGAAAATCCTCTGAGATGTAATAAATTATGTTCTAGCACAAAAAGGAAAATGCTAAGTTGTGAAGTCCTTTGGTGTTAGACTACTATTCTGAATGGTAAATCGACTTCTGCAAACTTAAATGTTACATTCAGGCTGGGAGTTTTCACCTAGAATTTTTTTGGAGTAATTGAAGGAATATCAATTTGAATATTTGAATTTGAATATTTGAAATGAGTTTCTGCCATTATTAGTAGCCCAGAAGCCTGAGCTTAGTTTTGATTATTAAAAACAAATAAACAAAAATCACCCAAAATTAAAAAAAAAAAACCAAAACATTTTAGTCCTTCAAAGTTCTTTAGAAGAAATGCATCAGTATAAAAGGCTATATTTTATCTGGCTATGTAAGTTTACATGCTTGCTATTTCACTGATAGTAAAAGATACCATTAAAACCAAAATTTGACGCGTTCAGTATTAAGTTGAGCAAGCAAAGGCATGGAAACAGAATTAAAATAGGCCACCCACTTTATACAGTAAGGACAAGCCTGCATTGTTTGGTGGCCCGTGTTCAGGTAGGTGAGACCTGAGCTGTGAGGCTTCTGATCAGCACTCTGGGAGTCTGAGGTATTTCCTTGATAATACATGTAATAGCTGTGGGATTTGATTGCTGGTTAATGAGTGAAAGTCTTGACACTGCTCTTTAGAGGAGTTTTTTAACTGGCTTTGCTGCTGTTTGCACTGGAGCAATTCTTGATTTGTTTGTCACTTCTCATGTGAAAGTATCTTTCACTTGCATAGATACAAATACAACTATCCAAGATAATGTGCTGAAATGTAATAGAAACAAAGTGGTGTTGTGAATACTCCACCAGCTCAAGCATCTATTCTCATTTAGAAGGTGATTCTGAAAACCATGTGCCATAATGGGAAAAGGACAAAAGCAGAGGTTAGACAAATTGACACAGGAATGGATGTTTTGACCCAAAGGCACAGGGTCATGCAATAACTTAAAGAGGCCTGTGAAAGTTTGAGGAGTGATCTGAATCAACTCACAGGCTGCTTTCACCCAATCTTTCCAGCTTTGTCTGCTGAGACCTGGGCCAAGTCCCATGATACATTTACACTCTAGAGTGACTTTCACTTGCTGCGTATTTGGGTTCAGTTTGAAACAGGTGAAACAGGATCAGATCTTAAGCCCTGCGAAGGTTTTCTGCTTATGTAGGGCCTGATTGCAGGCTTTTATAGAGGCACCAGGAGACAAATTTTACAAGGTACCTTCAGGTGTCTAATAATAAAATAAATTCCAGTTTTTCTTTCTTCCAGGGAAATCCTGTTGCTTAGAAATACCTGCTTAGAGTTTGAATACATGTGTGGCCAGGGATTGTTTGCATAGAAAATTATAAATGGAGTTGTTTATAGATGCTATATCCATTTGTAAAATCTACTGGTTAGTACAAGCAGGGACTGGATTTTTTGTGGATCATATTATGTTAGGAATAAGAATGGAAATTAATAATAAAGGCCAAAACAAAGACCTTGTGAGGCTCAATGGAGTATTCTTGTTTAATTTTGTTTCTATTAATTTTTTTCTCTCTCCAAGGCAGCATGACAGCACTAAGCCACTCAGATTATAGTTTCTTTTTTTTTTCCTCCCTCTCCTTTCTCTGTTTTTTCTCTCTTTTGTTTCTCCTCTGGTCACGGCAGTCGGCTCTGGGGTTGGAGTGCAGATGGGCTGTCGAAGCACCCCCCTCCCCTTTCTCAGCCTAACTCCATCCCCACTGCTCCTTCCCACAAGACTTTCAGACGCTCTTACTCTCCCAGGTAACAAGCTACCTGTTAAACCAACTTGTCTGAGGTGTCACAGTATTATTTACCTTTCACACCACGGGATTTGTTCAAATGTGGGACTTGCAGAGGCTTTGGCTGGAAAAGGAAAAGAGATGATGAAAGCTTTCAGAGAGCAAGGGTGATGGGCAGCCACTTGCTCACTGCTTGGGGAAGATGCAGCATGCACGTGGGGATAAAAAGAGGTGGGTTTTTCCAGACTTTTGCACCCATTCAAGAAGATGTCAGGGAAGATGCTTCACAGTCAGTTTCCAATGCAGAACACAGTTGCTGAGCACTTTTGGCAGGCACTGGTTGTGTTACAATACCAGGGGCAGGATCTTTCAATTTGGCTGCACTGTGCATGTGGCACTCGAGTACCTCCAGATGGACACATAGAGCTCAGGACTGACTTCACTTAGAATTTTGCTTGTATAATGTGATGGTGGAACATCTTGGAAATTCGTAGTATTGAAATTAAAATTGCCCTTACCTTACCACAAGATTTTGAGTTTATCTATTGCAATTTCCTATCTATTCCTCCTCTTTTGCCCTCACGTTTTGTTCCAGTCTGCATGCAGCTCTTGGACTAAAGCTGTATGCTGGTTTAAAAAAAAAAACAAACCTAACCTGGGTACAGATTTAATTTGTCAGATCTCTCTTAAACTCCTTGGATTTTTTAAAGTTTAAACCCTGACAACAGACCATCTGTGAATGTGGTTTCTCTTGACTTAGATATGTCTGTTACCTGAGGACAGACTATATATAGTCTTTCCTTAAAGAAAAAGGTCCTAATGAAAAACTGTTGAAAGAAAAGTGAAGAATTTTTTCTTTGAGGGCTCAGAATTTGAGAACATGTGACATCTGAGAGAAAGTTGAATGCAGTAGTAGGTACCTCTGTGAATACCTGCAGAACTAAAAACTTTAAATTAATGTTCTCACTCTGCTAGGACGTTGTGGAGGTATCTGTGGAGGAGATCCATGTTGATTTTTGGAATAAAACTAGTTGAGCGTGTTTTTGCCGTCTTCTTTTATCTGACACCAGATAATAGGGTTTGGAATAATGTAACATACATTCCAGCCCAGAGCCTGAAAGTGCAAGGACATGAGTTACTGTGTACTGCTTGAAGACACAGAACTGTGGATTACTTACACATAGTTTGGATTCGAAACCGAGTAACAATTTATGGAAGTAAAATGTATTTCATTCCAGACTGGAAAATTGCCAAATTGTATCTTGATAAACTTGGAGACAGCTGCATTGGTTTTGTGCAGTAGATGGAAAATAATGTTGTGACATCCCTAAACACTGCTCATCTCTACTCACTTCTTATTCATGCTGTGCCTTTCCTCTAGTTTTCTGCATGGGTCATAATTTTTTTTTCCCTTTTGTGCCTTTTTTTTTTTTTTCCTGAAAGGTGAGTGTAGTTCCATTTTACTTTTTTTCCTCCCATTGTGTTGTCTGTGAAGTATTCCAGTGCACATACTGTCAGTAGAGACGTGTGTTCACATTGTAGAATTTTCATTCATGTAGAGCACAGCCATAATGTGACCTCCTGCACAGGCTTATTCCTGACGTATGAAATCACTGGATTCTTTAGATTTTTTTTTTTAAAATGTGGGTTTGTGCTTTGACAAATGCATCAGATTGATGGCTCTGAGAAATTGCCTTAGTTCTTTAGCACTGAAAAGTCTGTCTTCTGATGGTTCTTTGGTAATAGTGTAGGGCGAAATTCATCCCTGAGGAAAGAAGTGATGATTTCAGCAGATTTATTGTCAGTATTGTATTTGTGATTATTTCTTGGTTTTTCTGCCATGGATATAATTGTGTGACCTTTGCTAAGTCACAGCATCTCTTGGTGAGAGTACACAGGTACAGTCACATGTATACCTTTTCAAATGGTGGTTTCATTACCCACTTCAAAGTTGTATGAAAAACCCTTTAAGATCTATGAATTAAACGTACTTGAGCTCAAAATATATATTTTTGAGATCATAGGAAACAAAGATTTTCCTGTTCCCGACTGGTATTTCTAAAGAACCTAAAAACTGCCTTGCCTTCTGTCTGGAAAGCCATCACAGTGCATTACTGTTGTTCAGCTGTCTGAAAAGCCTTAAATACTTTGACTTCTGTAGGTTTGTGAACAGCTTTTGTTTCCTGATCTTGCTCTGTTGTTAAGTGATTTCTCATTCTCCCTGGCCTGCCAGACACTGTTTGGGGAGTTGTTCTTTGGTTTGTTTGCCAAAATACATGGTGCTGATGTTTGTGTGAGTGTAGTGCGAACACGTTGCTTGGGAGCCAGGGATTATGGCTATTTTCAGTGTGTTAATCCCAAAGGAATTGGGCAGCCAATTTTATCCTCTGTCTGAGGTTCCCAAGTTTCTTCCAGAAAAGAAGCTGTGGTTCTAGATATTTAGTAGATACTTAATATCCTACTTTTGGTTCCACTGAAAATAACAACTGTGTATCCAGAATTCAGACGGGATTTTCTTGTTTGTTTGTTTGGGTTTTCCCCCACCCATCTCATAGGCAATCTTCCTTTTGTGGAAAAGGAACACAACTCAGTTCCACCATCTGCGTCCAAGCCCCTCCTGTTATTCTTCCCCAAATGTTATGAAATAGTAATTCACCACTGTAGGGAGCCACTTCTTGCCATTTATTGAAAAACAACTTGATGTAAATGTCTGATTCAGTCTATTTGCTTCTGGCTCTACTGAGATCTGAGACTCTGCCAGAAATTGTTCTCTCTTGCTGGATCTATTAATTTAGTGATTGTCATGAAAACTCTATTTCTCCTAGATAGAGCAAAGCCCTGCCAGTAATACTTTTTCATTTTCTCGAAGCTTATAGAAACTTCTCTTTAGCCAGATCTCTTAATATCATCTCCCCTTGCATGCAAGGCATTTTATCATGAGACTTAATTTTGGATAACTCCTCAAGGAATCCCAAAACTTTTGAGGATTTATGTTGCTGAGAAATTTCTAGGGAACAGATAGACTGCAATAAAGTGTCAGATGAATTCCCAAACTTAGGCCAAATACTGAAATGCTTTTTTTTATTAAGACACTGTGCAAGTGAGGTTTTATTACTTTATAAATTAAAATGGGCCATGTTAGACTAAGGTTTATGTCAAGTTGCATTTTTCTTTCCATTTAAATCTGTCATAGTTTCATATATTATTAAACTTAAATTTCACTGATTTCATTTCCACCAGCTCTCACAACCCTTTGAGTTTTCATAGTGATTGATATTATTTTCCTTTTTAAAATACATCACTGCCACACTGGGCATAGGGTTTTCTGGTTTATAGAAGGTAGCACACTTACTGAATGTAAGAAACAGTGGACCTGTTTTCCCTTCACTTATAGCAAATTGTTCTCCTTTGAGGGGAAACTCTGACCTGAACTTTGTTTTGATTCCATCCATGTTGTGTTATAAGTCACTGTTAGAAAGGGTACTCCAAACCATCTGTCTCCAGCTTGTTTTTGTTAACAGTCAGAAGCGGATCCCAATTTCATTTGTAACATTTCATATACGTTTGGTCTTTAGTATGCTGGATTATGACACGGAGAACCTAAACTCTGATGAAATCTACAGCTCTCTTCGTGGAGTCACAGAAGCGATTGAGAAATTTAGTTTCCGTAGTCAAGAGGACCTAAATGAGCCAATCAAACGTGATGGGAAGAAAGACTGTGACCTTGTAAGTATTCCACTGATTAATGTCCCCAGATAGATGAAATTTTAGAACATTGTGATCAAACCTGTCTGTGGATTGTTAGTGTACAAAATCCAGTTATTCCTGCTGTATTCTTACAGATATCTTCTGCTTATTAGTTGTTAACTCCTTATACCTTAATTATGGAGTTTCACTGGCTGTTTCCCTTGGCTCTCTTTGAGCTCTGGCCTCCTGTGGAATGTGCTCACTGGTCTTCTGTGGGAGTCTCATGAAGGATGGAAACAGTGCTAGTATTCCTCAGGCTCAGCATGGCTCAGTGATGGCTTTTGCATGGAGTGTATCTAGTCAGGTCTGTTATGGGAAATGTTAGTTCTTAAAATGCATGGATGGTTCCCCTCACATGCTTAGGAGCTGTGATCACTCCAAGTGCACAGCTCATATGGTATCTTATGCTCTTAAGAGTGGTTACAGAAACTGTGATCGAGATATTTTTGAGCAGGTGTAGTTGTGCAAAAGAAAGAGATAGTAATCAAAGTTTTACTGAAGTATTATGTATAAATAATACATGTGAATAATTCTGTGCCTTTGGGGGAACTCTAAAAATGCTCCAGTTTCTATAGAATTTTGAACATACATTTTTCCCTCTGATTCCCCCAGGTGTCTCGAGATGGTGGCCTTGCTCTCCCTAGTGGTGATGTCCGTGGGAGCAGTGACATTGTGGAAGGCGGAAGGATGGCTCTGGATAACAAAACCTCCCTCCTGAACACGCAGCCTCCCCGCGCCTTTTCAGGGCCCCGTGCTCGGGAGTACAACCCCTATCCTTACGCTGACACCATTAACACTTACGACAAGACTGCCCTGAAGGAAGCAGTGTTTGATGATGACATGGATCAGCTTCGAGATGGTTTGTATCGGCTCACCTTGTAATGCTGCAGGCAGCTCGCTGCCTCTCTGGTGTGTTTGTGTATGGGTAGTGCCCTCAGATACGTGCCTGCCTGTGCATGTGTTGTGTATTACATTGCATCTGAGTCGAGGCTTGGTATGAAATACCCTTTGTTCTCGTGTCCCAGCAGAACCTCATCTGTGGCTATTGAGAAAAAGTATTATGCTGCGGTTTTGATTCTTGTTTGTCTGGGGTTTCCTGCAAACTGCTCCCTTAAGCATCCACATGCATCTGCTTTGGGACCTTCCCCTCTTCATGGCTGAAATGCCTCACTCAACAGCTTGTTGTTATTGAGTGCTTGACTTCATTTAAGTGCAGCTACACATCAGCTTTATTCTTTTGCAGTACACTGATGAGTCACTGTACTTTAATCTAAAGGTCATACATGTGACCACCGGTTTTGGGTGTGTATGTCTGGGAAAAACCACAGCAGTTCTCATCTTGTAGAAGTAATTGTTGGAACTGGAAGAAATCCAGTTGTCAGCTCTTCCTGGTTCGTCAGAAGCCATGTGCAGATGCATGAGCCTTGCTATGAACTCAGGTTAAATTATGGGCTAGTCAGATTCTGTTGCCTGCTTGGCTGAGGCCACCTGGAATTTGATGCATTTTTGGGGGGCCCCTTGTTACATGAACCTTATTCTGTAGAGGGTGAGAAATTTTGGCACCTTTGATCTTTTTCCCATTTCTCCAAATGATTTGCTGCCATTTGTCCTAGAAGTACCCATTGACCATTCGGATTTGGTGGCTGATCTTCTGAAAGAGCTCTCCAACCACAACGAGCGGGTGGAGGAGCGGAAAGGAGCTCTCCTGGAATTGCTAAAGATCACAAGGGAAGATAATCTTGGAGTCTGGGAGGAGCATTTCAAAACCATTCTGCTCTTGCTGCTGGAAACGCTTGGAGACAAAGATGTGAGATGTAGATTTTGTCTTAATTCTCCTGTACATTGCTTCATCTTGGGTAATATTCCTACACACCAGTTTAAATGAAACCTGCCACTCATCAGTGATACTGCATTGCTAATTTTTTTTCTTTTGAAGGTTGACAACTTAACTTTAGTTTTCACACTGTTCAGTGCTGAGTTTTCCATTACTCCAAAATGTCCCACTTTTCCCCCTCCCTGCAGAGTGTTACTAACAAATAGCTAGGAAATTGAACTAGAATCAGAAAAGAAGTTCTAGTCTAGTAAAAAACTGTCAAGACTTCAGTTATTCTCTTCTGAGTTAGGATAAAGTTACAAACTCTTAACTATGTTATGCCCATTCCCAGGAAGGAAAATAAAGGCATTTTAGAATAATTTTTTTTTTTTCTCCTGTGTGGTTTAAAGACCCAGGGTATTAGATCTCATGGGTTAGGTTTCTGTCTCTTGTAAAAATGTTGTCAAGAACAAGCTGCTTTTATAGGGAATCTTGTTTTGAAATATTAAAAAAGAAAACTTTGTTATTATCACAGCTTTATGTTTGGTAGTTGATTAAAGTGGTAATTTACAGGCTAGGCTTTTTTTTCCATTTGGGGATATTTGTTTAGCTTGCAGCATAATGATATTTGGTAAAGGCTCAACACCCCACTGCATCTTCACATCAGAGCCACGCGGAACATTATAATACTGAGGCTTCAAAGCACTCACAGTTCTTCATTTTGTTTCATCTGATTCAAAAATCTATTGTATTCCTTATACTCCTTGTAAAATATATGTCATGCTCTCAGAAGTGTTAATTCTGAGGCAGGATAGGTGGCTGACATTGTCTCAGTCATTGTTCTTAAGCATGAGCTGCTCTAGTTCTACATGTTTAATGATAGCACCATCACACAAGTATCAGAAGGTCTGGTGACTTTGTCTTAAGTGCATGTGAATTGTGCTACTGTATGAATTTTGCAGATGAATAGCAAAGCACATATTTTAAAGGCTGAGGATGAAGTAAAGTATGTGTTCCTCTGCTGAAATAATGAAATCTATTTGGAGTGGCCACAGGTCAAAAATTTTGTGTAAGTTATGAAATTGAAACAGGTGTTATAAATCCCTTCTGCTCATGAGCTTTTGCTATGAAGGATGAAGACATAGGTCAGTGTTGGCTACAGTAACTCAAGTCCTTGAAAGTCATTTCCCTAGGAGTTACAGGAAGAGTCAGTTTTAATGCTTTAGTACATGAGAAACATTGTGGCACAGATGGAGCCCAATTTGAAATCTGCCAGGCTGAGCAAAAAGGAAAGGCAAAACATTCATGATCTGACCTTCTTTGTAGATTGATGTAATGCTGATGTCCTCCTGGGAGTACAAATTTGTACTTCATTGCAAAAAGAATATAGGCTTTAGGAAAATAGTCATTCTGATTCTTGTATATGTGAGAAGATTAATTTTATGTGGCTTTCTGTGCAAGAGCAAGCAAGGAGCCCAATTCTGAATTTTGTTACATTGATTCCACTGCTTATTCCACTGGAGCTGGTAGTGTAGGGAGCCCTGTGAATTTCTGGCAAGCCAGGAGAATTCACTTCAAACCATGATTTTGAGAAGCATCTTTTTCTTATCTTTTTCTATTGCCTGTTTTTCTCACAGCATTCGATAAGAGCCCTGGCGCTGCGAGTCTTGCGGGAGATCCTGCGGAACCAGCCGGCGAGGTTTAAGAACTATGCGGAGTTGACTATCATGAAAACACTGGAAGCACATAAGGATTCCCACAAGGAGGTGAGTAAGCCTTTCAGCTACTGGGAAAGCAATATGGACCTGCAGAAGAAATGTAGGACCTGTGAGACTTAAGAGGCAGACATGTTGAGCCATCCTGAGAGTGGAACAAATCAGTATTAAGTCTCCCAAGTATGAAGAGATAGAATTTTTACATGCTGAAACAGTGAGGAAAAAAGTGGAGACTGTGAGAGCTATTTATGTGGACTTGGAGCTGTCTGGAGTGGTATGCCACTGTTTGTTAATTTCCCAGGACTTCCCTGCTCATTCTGGGAGAGGTTGAGACACTGTATGAAAAAAGTGCATGTTTAATTACTTTTTAGAGCATGTTAGGGGCACTGTGCTGCCTCTGTGTGTACAGGTAAGAATACAAAATGTACTGGAGAACACAAAGGCTGTATTTAAGCAGAATTGTGTGTGAAAACTGAATGGTGAAATTGGGCTGTGCTGGAAAATTGGGAACTGGTCAGTAACAGGAGAAAATGGACAAAGGCCATGCTGCAGTGGCAGAGGAAGAAGCAAAAGGAAGGATGAATTGCATTTTCCTTTTTGTAAGAGAACTCTTATACAAAACTGAAAGTATTCTGAAATAAAGTGAGAATGAAGGATAACATTTTAAGTAGATCAATTCAAATTTCATTTAAACTTAAACTTTTTAGATTGTTTTCCAAGTTGTATCTTTTAATCTACCTTGTGCATATTGGAAGTTTGAAATAAACCTTCTGAGAAGTGCTACCAGAATTTCCCTTTCGGTCTGTGATGGTTTTATTACCAAAGTCCTGGGTTTGAAATCAAAGGCATTTATTCTTCTCTACAGAAGGATTATTCTAAGTTAGCAGTTTTAGGCACCTCTGAAGATATTTGGCCATGAAAAGATGATTAAAATAGACCAGACTGCTCCAGAGCATTGGGGGACTAACACAAGGTTATTTTAACCGTGGGTAGCAGACACTGTACTGTTTGAAAATCAAAACAAAAAACACTCCCAGGGAAGGAAAATAGCAGTCTGGATTTCTCTAAAATGCTGAAGTAGAAAATATTTAATGCTTTAATGAATGAGGGCTGCCCTACTCTGCCTACCTTCTTCTTGATTTAGTGCTTTTGCACCCCTGTCATTTTCAGTTCAGAGTAGTAAGAAGCAGTTGTAAATTGTTTTTCTGATAAAGCAGTCAGACAAAACACTATGTTCTGAAGGAGTGCCTTTTACTGGCAAGTTTTCCTGTTTTCATGCTTGTCAGCTCACCTTGACTCAGTGCTCTTTGTATTTTTTTTGGGAATCCTCCAGAACTAAAGTTTCTAGCAGGACCTTTCCAGATTGTTCCTGGCATTGTTTTTAGTGCCCCTCAGAATTCACTGTTCTGTGGGACTGGTGGGTTTTACAGAAATCGTGAACAATGTTGAAAACACCATGCTTTATGCCTCTGTATTATTGTGATGTGGAAAGATTCTTTGGGATTTGCATGAGGTGCTTCCCAGAGAAAAGCAGAGAAAGATAAACCAGGAATGAGAGGTGGGAGTTCTGGCACTTCTTTATAGACTAATTGAGCTGTACAGTGCTCAGCAAGTAGCTACTGTGCTGCACATAGTGTGGCTTTGATTTGCCGTGGTTTTGCACAGCATCTTCATAATGAGACATCAGCTGCTGCAGTGGGACCTTTGGGTGACAGCTGTCACATCAGGACACTGCAGGTATATTCCTGTTTTGTATCTGTTGCACATACAGCACAGCTGTATCAATTGGGGCACTAGTTCTGGATTTTTCATTTTGTGTATGAGTGTTTTCTGATCCCTGTGTACATGAGGCTCTCAGAACCATGATGCAGCCCAGGAAAGGCATCATCTGTCCATCAGTAGTTTGAGGATATCAGCATTCCTGAAGTTATGGAAGGTACCTGCACTTGAATATCCACATGAGCTAGGCTAAATATATACCTGTGAATATGCTTGAAGTAGTTTTACCTGTAGTTGGGACTTGCTGATTCAGTTGAGTCTGTGAAAAATTAACTGAGAGATAATTTGGGCTGGCTCAGTTGGTCAAACTCATAGCCTAGAGCCAGAAGGTCACAAATTCCCTTCCTGTGGTGGCCCTCCAGCTCGCTCCCACTGCTGACTTTGCAGCACTGCTCTTTCCAGGAGGGGAGGAGGATCTGCCCTTTAACTGGATCCTACTGAGCAGGAGATTGAGGATTCACCAGTTTGTGAGTGAAGGGCAGTTTCAAAGGATAGCTGAAGAGGGAAAGGAAGTTCTGTGCAGTCTGTTCTACAGCTTGCTTTCTCACTATATCAGAGCAGTATTAAAGGGAGTGGTGCACTCTCCTTAAACTACATAAAATCAAATCTTCCCCTAGACCATAAGAACTATTTCAAGGATAGCTGGTATATAATTTAGTTGGGAAAGGGTTAATCTTTGTGTCAGTGATGTCCTGATGTCACTCCAGTTTGTTCTGTTTCTGGGCTGCTTCTGCCTTGTAGCAGAATACAAAAGTGATCCTTGGTTATGAATTGGTAATTTGGTGTCAACAGGCTGTGTGAGTTAGCAGAAAATGTCTGTTTTGAGCAAGCTGTATCTGTTTCAGTCTTTCTTACCTGAATTTCCCCTTCAGCACAGGGACTGCTAATTGCTCCTGCTACTGCAATTGCTACTGCTCACATTTTCAATTATATATGACCCACAGAGACTCAATCTAAAGTGATCTAGCAAAGAGAATTTGAAGAGGAGCAGACTGGGTTCTGTCTCCAAGAAGTCATAGTAAGTGGTAGTTCTTTGGAAATCAGGAAGGTTTGTTTGTCTACGCAAATTCCAGTATTGCTGTTGTTCAGCATGGCCAGGAGTGACAAAAACAATATATTCACCAACCAGCAAATATCACCCCCTCCTCCAGTTGAGTGCTGATATCTAGTTCAAGTTTTTTTTTTGTTGTTTTTTAAAACAGGAAAAGGTCTATGATTTTATTCATTTATTTTGAGGTATCAAAACAGTGGTTGCAAAGTTAGATATTTTGGGATGCCTGGATACCTGGCTGTTTTCCCAAGTCCAGGCAGAAGTCTTCAGACAGTTGGGTCTTTGCCGTGGCTAAAAATCATCTGCCTTCTGTTGCTGAAGGCGAGGTCTGGGATCAGCAGAGCTGATCAGCACAGCTGAGAGCACCACATTTCTCCCCAGGGATATGAGAGAGGAAAGGTTGGTACATGGAGTTGGAGCTGAGTCACACCTTGTTGTGAGTGCAAATGCAGGAGATTGGCAAAGCACAGACCTCAGTAACAGGTCAAAATTAATGTAACCCTAGGCTACAGAGTAGATGGCTCTGGGTTGGGATTCATGTTTAGTTTGCCTTTTTTAACTTTGTCCTGTTTTCATACTGTTTGTAGTACAACAGTCTGTTCGATGCTGTTGATTTAATGGGGTGATGTGAAGAGTCAAGCCTGCTTCAGTCATAACTAGAAACATTTAGGGGGGTTGACATGTAAATGCCTTTTACTTACTTTTGGAGCATTAGAACATAATTGAAGTTGTGGATGATATTAAATCTTGTTGATTTTTATCAGTCTTTGTTTGGAGTTATTTGGAAGAGAACCATCTTTCTGTTGCCAATTAGTTAATATTAACTCATTTGTTCCAGTGCAGTTACTCACCCATAGCTAAGGAGAGATGCTGCTTGCTGACCCAATACCACAGATGTGACATTGCTTCAGATTCATGCCAGCAAAATGAGGATAATTGCTTATTATTGAGTATTTTAAAACAGAAATAGTTTAATATCTTGGAAATCAGCAGCAGAGTGAAAAATCATAGGATAGCTAATTCCCTGCTTCTGTCTCTGGCACAAAGCCTATGGACTTAACTGATGTATATTTTCTATGTGTAAGGAAATGATGCTGTGCCATATCTTAGATATCTTATTTCTGGATGTTGTGATATAGGAGGTTCATAAGCATAATTGGGATGCTTATTGCATATTATCGTACATTCTTTGTTGTAACTCTCTAAAAGAGGGAGAAGAAGAAAAAAATCAGTTAAGCATTACCTGTAGATAACTTTTATTATCTTGTTGAGGTGCTTTTAGATTGGCCTCTGACATTTATATATTGTCTTCTGATGATGGTGTGATCTGTGTAGGTTTCTGCAAAACAAAAAGCACCAAATGATCATAGTCTTGAAGATTAATTGTTACCTATTCCGTGCTTGAAGCTTCCAAGTGCTGCAAGTGGGCAGTCATTAATGTTTCATAATATGTTTATGTACCTTTTTCTGTTTCCCAACACATTTCAAATGTTTAGTGCCCAGGAGAAGCAGTGTAATCTACTTCATCTCTGAATCCTTATAAAAATCACACTGCTTTTTCATCTGCTTAGCACTCCCCATTGCTGAGTCCACTTCCTGCTTTGAAACCAAGTCCATAATTGTTTGTTCCTGTCTGGATCAGACTGTAAAGCCTTCAGGGATGGGAGTTGGCCTCACTAGGTACTGGTAAACCTCCATCCCCTCCAGCTTAGATTATATAGGCTTTAAGTAACCACCTCTATATGGCAAAAATTGGCTCAAAAGCACAGCCACATGCCTCGTAAGCCTGTAAGCAAAACCTTGTTCTCCTTAATACACTTCTCTGGTGTTTCACAATGGTGTACAAAGCCTCTAAACTTTCAGTGGGGCTTTGCCTGCACTGCCTCATCCTCTACAACCTCCTGCAGAGACACCATAACTAGCAATCATGGCAAAGTACTCCAGCTTAAGCTCTTGCGGGAAGTTCTCATCCAGGTGCCGCAGGTCCTGCTTTGCTGAGATCCCTGCATGTTACACTGATGCCTATGAACCTGGCATGTTCTGCCTTTTTCTTTCCTTATTTGTCAGTACTTTGTGTCTCTTTAAAGTGGAAATGAAACTATCAAAACTTGTAAGCTGGTTGCTGCAGCTGGCAGGCAGCAAACAACATGTTAATGCATGGAGTAATAGCTGAGCAGAAGAAAATGAGTGGAAGAGATGGAGTCTGAGTTCTGGCTGTCTT